ATTGTATTAAAAAATCAATCTGGTCATTCTTAAGTTCTGAATATGTAGCTAGGGAGAATTGTATAGCTTCACATCCCTGGAGGTGTTCGATTACAGTATATAGAGAAGTGACATCTGCAGTGACTAAAAACATATCCTCATCCCAGTTAAAATCAGATAAAAGATTTAAAATTTGTGTAGAATCTTTCAAATAAGATTTGAGACAGGAGACCAAACGTTGGTCCACTGTAGTGATCCACATATTCGGAGAGATTCGCCGTCAGAGATCCGATACCAGATACAATTGGCCTACCGGGAGGTTTCTCAAACCATTTATGGATTTTTGGTAGATGGTAAAAGATGGGTATTCTAGGGAATTGGATGTTGATATATTTGAATTCCCTTTCATTCAAGATGGCTCTTTCTTTTCCATAGTTGAGTGTCTCTTTAAGTTCTTCTTGATATTGTACAGTAGGGTCCTTCTCTAGTCTTTGGTAGGTGTCCATGTCGCCTAGTAGTCTCCTATTTTCTTCTAAATAGTCCTCAGTATTGAGGACAACCAGGCCCCCCCCTTTGTCCGCTGCTTTGATTGTGATGTCCTCAAGTTTCATTGGCTGTTTTAATGCATACCTCTCTTTTTTGGTTAGATTATCCTTAGTGATCCTATTGGTGATCTTTTTCCTGAAGTCTTTCTCTACCATTTTCTCAAAGACTTTTATAGAATCATTCTTAACATGCTGTGGGTAGAATGTTGAGGTGGGGTGCAATTCTGTATGTATGTAGTTGTAACAGATCACCTGGCACCCCGACTGAATGCTGTAGACAGTTGAATAGGAACCATACGAATAGGTTTACTCTCCTAGCAGTCAAACTGGAACAGCATACAATAAATCCTTCCCCCAATAATGAGACGAGACTTCACTTTGAGGGTTAAAACAGGAACTCCCTGTACTGTCACATACAGTCTCTTTTATTCCCAATCCACAAACATAGTACAGCCCACAGGGCGTTACAAAACAGCCAATCAATCCATACAATACACCCAGACACTCCCACACAAAATGGGTAATCTAATTATCACAGCAAGAGAAATACAGTTTCATAAAACACATCACAGGGACCCCAAAACATGCAATAACCCCATTCTCACCATGTGCTTCTGATACAGGAAATGGTGGCCACCCAGTAACTCCACAGTATGTTCCCAGATGGTTCTTAAAAGGGCCAGCAGCAGCACAACACAAATCCATTATGCCCAAATCATGTCTTTAAAGGGCAATACATCCCAGGGGCCATAGTCACATGGCAGGAGGCTGGCAACCAGGCTTCTCCAGTGCATAGTGGCGAGGTTGGTTCCGCCACAGTAGTCTTGTTCCACCTCTTGTTTAACTGTGTCTTTGTCCAAGAAGAATTTTTTGATGGAAATCTTGCGTATAAACTTGTGTAAATCTATGCAGACATCAAATCTAGAGCTTTTAGATGTGGGGGCGAACTTCAGACCCTTCTTGAAAATGGATATTTCATCTGGGTTAAGGGTTTTGTATGATAAGTTAAAGATGTTTACTTCCTCCTCTTCAGTTGGATCAGATCCCCGTGTGTGTCCATTTCTTCTTCTCAATCTCTTATGGTTCTTTTTCTTTTGATGTCCGGAGACTTCTAAAAAAATGTTCTCACCCATGATTATTATTGATTGGTTATTTTTATTTTCATTTTCTTTATTTTTTATTTTATTTTCATTTTTATTTATTATTTTTTACTATCTCACATTTTTTTCATCCACTTATTTTGCATCTATTTACATTCATATTGCTTTTACTCTGATATCCAGTTTTCCCTTAAAGGTACAGTATACCTTCTTTTATAGATATTTTAGCTTTTTGTAGCCGCATTCTAGGCTAGCTCCTGGTATCTCCAGACACCTTTGGTGTCCTTTTTCTAGTTAATCCTATAAGATGAATGGAACGTCTGCTATGTGATGAACTGAATGTCCCATAAATGCCTGCTAGAAAATGGTCTATGGGATATGTACAGCTCCTACTAAAAAGCATCAGGACTGCTTTGAGTGCTCACTGCTGAAGCAAAAAAACCTCAGCATTTGTAGCAAATGCAGGACCTTCAAAGGTGACTGTTTGTTTTTTAAATTTAATTTGTTGGTATTTTGTAGCATGGTTATTTGATAATTGTATTATGTTCAAAATGCACTAAAAAGTGGGATCATATTCAGCCTAGTGTAACTCTTTAAATATCTGTCCAAATACTGGAGTGTGGAGGTATTAACAATCTTTATTAAAATATCAGGGGTTGGTATTTTATTTGCGCTAATTCCCAACTATTAATTTAAAAGCGAAGAGTTCCCACTATTTAATTCTTAGATCTAGAGCACGTTGTTTGAATTTAATATTTCACACATTAATTTCACAATATTTTTTAATAAAACTTTTAGTATTTATTTTTGTCAATAAGTGTAATTATACATGTCAATTAGTGAATAGTTTTTCAATAATATTGAACAAGATATGTCATAGTACAGTATCACAATCTCAGTAAAGCAATTTTAAGCTATTTAAAGTGATAGGATTGTTAGTTCATGACAACTTCAATCAACAGGGTTAGTCTATGGAATATGTTCTTCATACACTATGATTGAGACAATCGACAAATAGAATGTTACTATTTGTTAAATTATAAGGAACCATATGAGTTTATCAGCATATGGATTATGATAATTTAAAGACAGAATTTTTCAGGATCTTAAAATACAATCTTAGCTTTTTACTTCTTAGTACTAATTACAAACACATGTGGATTTTTGCATATTGTAAACACCATTTATTAGACTTAGCTGGATTTACTCAGGTGATCTATACACAAAGTTCTACAACAATGTTTTACCAGCTAGCACAGAATTTTAACCAGCTCAGTGCTGTTTCAGAGTAATTCATTATGATTAATTAATTCATCCAGTAACTACATTTTTGCAGGTTTAGTTAAAACAGTTCTTATCTGGTAAATACTCTATATAATGTTATAGGATTTATATTCTAATGGGTAACCTGATATTCAAATTTTTTATTTCATGATTTTGATTAATATTCCAGTCTGCAGTTTGAGATATTAACCTTTATCACGAGCTATCATGAAACCTAATCTGGCGGATTTCATATCCGCTTTTACCCAGAAAATATTAGCTTTTAGTTATGTAATTTTATAGTTAGTGTAATTGGCTTATATTTACCTATAGATGTTCTGGATGTTATTTTTAAGATTGTTTCAAGATGTCTTCTTGTCCGCCTCTTGTCTTGTGTCCTATCTCCTTTCTTTTCTGTGTGTGTCTCTTTCTGTGTATCTTTTAGGTGTCCTTTTCTTAGGTATCTCTTAGGTGTCCCCTGTGTGTCTATATCATGGGGTTATATGTCATTCCTTATCTGTTAACCCTCTGACCTGGTCCAATTATATAATATTCCTATATGTTTCAAACAGTAGGTGGAGCTGTTGGCTTACCTCAGGAATGTTATATAGGGTTAATTCTTTTTCAGGACAATTTAGGAATGTTTAAATTTCAAGATGCTTTTAGTCAAAAATTCTTTCTATGTGGACTTTGTTTGTTCAACCAATGTGTCCTTGTTCGCCTAAGTGTTATTGTAATTGCAGTTATGGAACTTAATTTATCTCTTTGCTATTTACATTTTTATGTAAATTTCTCTATATGTATAGATTGCCAACTTAGGATATATCACACTATATTTCCATTTTTATATATAATTAAACTTAATTTATATGCCTCCTAGCAATATATTTGCGTTTGCTGAACACCTACTTTTAATTACCACATACTTATTATTATTGTTATTATTGCCATTTATATAGCGCCAACAGATTCCGTAGCGCTTTACAATATTATTAGAGGGGGGATTTAACTATAAATAGGACAATTACAAGAAAACTTACAGGAACGATAGGTTGAAGAGGACCCTGCTAAAACGAGCTTACAGTCTATAGGAGGTGGGGTATAAAACACAATAGGACAGGAAATAGCAATCAAATAAGGAAGGAGTGAAGCAGAGCTGGAGGAGAGAGTAGAGTGCTGCCCTTTAGGAGAGAGCAAGAGACAGGTATGTGAGGTAGAGTCTGTGAGGCCATAGGCTTTCCTAAAGAACTTGTCTTATCTGTGTTCTTATCTTTTATTGGCACAGATGTAGTTACTCACTTTCAGGCTCTTTTAGCTGACAGAGGTGCTTTGAGAAAAACATCTTGTTTCTTCATTTTAGCACCTCATGGTACAGTAGCTAAATTGCGTTTTTGCTATTATGCATGTATTATTTTTATCACACACTATATACGTATTTCCTTCCTACACAATATCTCTGACATTGTACTTGAACCCAAATCCACATAGACCAACAGTTAGTCACGTTATCGAAATAAATAATGATTTCAGTAATGCTAACATGCAAAATTACCAGTAATGCACTTGATGTACATGAAAGTGAACTTTACATTATAGCAACAGTCAAATTCTAAGCAAAATATAAAAAGTTAGCTTATACCGTTCCAGTATAACTGATCATAAATTATCTAATAACTACATGATCAAAACTGATAAGTATCATACCTCCACCTAATATGGAATTGCATAAATCATTAAATTATTAAATTAGTTTCAATCTATGTCTTTTTGCGTTTCACTGGGAAACATTGACTAACGTAATAATTGATTTAAACGCCACTATGTCCACAATCAAATCCCAGTGTTATTATATTCAATTTCCATTCAAAATATGGTTTTCATGTGGCATGTAATGCATGGTGGCACCCATAGCCAATATTGAAGAGTGCATAGTTTAGATATCGTGTTCAAAATTTCTATAGCATATCACAATCTATAGGTAAACAGTTTAAATTCTTTAGAGAACGTGGAAGATATATTTAAAGTATTTAAATAATGTTACAGTATTTATTCTACTGATATTTTTATTTCATACAGTCATTTTATTAAGTCTGACATTGACACAACGTCAAGTTTAGCTAATGCAGCAGGACTTCTTCTCTTCCTCTTCATACTCTATAAGGTATTCTGGATAAATCTGTTGTTTTTCAAACACCACGTAGATAGTCGGTTGGTATATGTTGTCCACACAGCTGTCATAAAAGTAGGTCATGCTCCCAGATTTGGACGGTGGCCGTCTTAGATTAACATTCCCAGTTATATAATCTCCTATTAGCACACGGGCCACAAACATTGTCCTTTTACCATCACTGTTTTTTGGTGAATAGTTATGAGAGTAAGAGGCATCTCTAGAAAAGTAACTTCCTGTAGGGTAAAACGTAAGAGCAGTATTATAAATAGATCTGGAGATCTTGCAAATAATAGCACCACAACTTGCTGACCATCAGAGCAAGAATATATATATTCCAAATGCAGGTATTCTAGATCATGAAAAGCCCATGCAAAGACTTACAATAGTCCATCTGGTTCTCTTACTTACTGTTATTGTTTAATGGAACACTCCAAGCACCATAACTACTACAGGAGTACCATGGTGACTCCAATTTTGAGTTGTCAAACAGTTTTAGAAAGGTTTGACTTCTTACCTGGGGTCCTCCGGGTGCAACCCTCCACTTCCTCCAATACAGAGCCAGAAGCTCTCTATCTGAGCTAAGCCCTGCAACTGACACTTCAGTCAGGGATTAGATCAGTAGAACCAGTGGAAGCTCCTGTTGAGCAGCTTCTGGCTTTCTGTCAGAAGTAATAGGGTGGGAATGGGCTCCAGAATACTCCAGGTAAGAAGTGAAACCATTCTAAAATAGTTGACTAGTTTCACTGGGAGTTCGCTGTCATGGGCATGGTGCTTGGAGTGTACCTTTAATTAAGTATTCCAAACAATTTCACCATTCTACAATTGCATTAACAGTTACCTTGTCCATACAGGGTACCATGGGTCCCACAGGTTCGCCAGTCAAAGTTTTCATGACAAATGTGTGTAATGTAAGTATTGTCAGTCCCACGAAACAGCCTCTTCTCATCCACTTCTGCCCCATTATTTGCCTTCTTCATCTGACCCTTCTTCCTATAAACAATATAGATTCTGAGTCTAAAAGGATACTTTGGAAATACACACTGGCAGTATATATTTATAGCAAGAACCATGGAACTATTTGAGTGAAGGCAGGTAGAAGTTAACGAAGCAAGAATTCTCAGAGGTTGACACATACCACTGATAAAGCTTCCAAAGGGACGGATTCTGTATACGACCGATCTTCTTCACCACAAAGCCTGACAATGTCTTGGTGAACATGCTTTGGATCTGTGAGGCTTCTGGTGACATCAGGGGAACATTTACAATCTGTACGGAAAAGAGAACCACAGTAAACAAGATGGCATAGAAGAAGTCACCAATATTGAGAGACTAGATGATTTTCGAGTTGAAAAAAAACAATCCACCACAAAAAAAAGGATGGCTTAACAACAACTATGAAACCCCATGGCACACCCAAGTGTACATTTTAATATTTACCATATAAGATTTATGAATCTTCTCCCAGAAAATATAGGCTAGGTTACAATACATATGCATTAAATAAACACTAAAGCATTAGGAATACAAACCTGTACTTCTAGCCAGTGGCGTACATACGGGGGCGCAAAGGTCGCTGCCCCCCTGCGAGCTGGTATGTACTCCAGTGTGTCCACAGGAGCTGGCCACCTCAGGCCCCCCGAGGCTGGCCCTGGTGTCATCGGGCGGCCGGTCCTGTGGGCGCGCGAGGGAGCACTCTCCCCTGAGCGCTCTCTGCCCAGCTCCCTGATGCCGGAGCCGGAATATGACGTCATTCTGGCTCTGGCATCAGTACGTGGCGCGCGAGGGAGCAGGGCAGAGAGCACTCAGGGGAGAGTGCTCCCTCGCGCACCCACAGGACCGGCCGCCCAGCAGCACCACTGGACCCCAGGTAATCCCCTCAGCTCTCCCAAAGGTAAGGAGGCTGGGGGATTAAATAAAAATAAAAAAACATGTGTTAGTTTTAACACATGTGTGTGTCTGCTAGTGTCAGTGAGTGTGTTAGTTTTTGTGTGTGTTAGTTTGTGTGTGTCTGTTATTGAGTGTGTGTCTGCTAGTGAGTATCAGTGTGTGTGTTAGTTTGTGTGTCAGTAAGTGTGTTACTGTGTGTGTCTGTTACTGAGTGTGTTAGTTTGTGTGTGTCTGTTAGTGTGTATGTGTGTCTGTCTGTCAGTGAGTGTGTATATATGTATATCGCTGAGTGTGTCTCTGTCAGTAAATGTGTGTGTCTGTTAGCTAGTGTGTATGCATCTGTTCGTGAGTGTGTGTGTTTAAAACCCCATAGCACTTACATTTCTCCAGTGCTGGACTCCTTTGGCGCTGGGGATCCCTCCGCCCCAATCCGCCTCTCAGCTTCAAATGCGCATGCTCGGCAAGAGCCGCCCGCGCATTCAAACCGCCCATAGGAAAGCATTACTCAATGCTTTCCTATGGACGTCCAGCGTCTTCTCACTGTGATTTTCACAGTGAGAATCGCAGAATTCAGTGAGACAGCCACTAGAGGCTGAATTAATCCTCAGTGAAACATAGCAGTTTCTCTGAAACAGCTATGTTTTCAGCGCTAGGGTTAAAACTAGAGGGACATGGCACCCAGACCACTTCATTAAGCTGATGTGATCTGGGTGTCTGTAATGGTCCTTTAAGTGTGTGTGTATCTGCATGCACTGGCGTACATACCGCGGTCGCAGTGGTCGCAGCCTTGCGACCAGGTGCCCGCGGCCATGTGTGCGGCCCTAGCCCGTGCAGCGTAAGCGCGGGGGGGGGGCCACGGGTCAATTTTCGCACCGAAGAAAGTCTGAGTATCATGTGGGACGGGGGCATGATTTTGGTCAGAAGAAAAAACATGCGGAGGTGGCGGGCAGCGGAGAGATGTTTCGACACTTCGGAAATTCGGCAACTTCAGCACTTCGACACTTTGGAACTTCGGTATTTCGGGACTTCGGCACTTCTATTGCAGCCGCTTAGTAGATGACTCCCTAATTCCCACGGTATTAGGGAGTTATCTACCAAAAGGCTGAAAGACCTAAATTGGTCTTTCAGCAAAATTTACTAATACTAAGTAAAAATTACTTAGTATTAGTAAATTTTGCCCCTACTCGCTGTACCGCGAGTAGGGGCATGTCTAGTAAACAGTAAAAAAAACAAAAACAAAATAGGGTCCCCCCTCCCAAGCCCCCACCCCCTGAGCGGCGGGTGGGGGCCCTAAAGTAAAATGATGGGGAGAATTGTCTTCCCCCCTGGCCCCTACCCCTGTGTGGGGGCCCTAAATACTGATAAGGGTGGGGGGACCTAATGTCATTATTTAGGGCCCCCACCCACCACTCAGGGGTAGGGGCCAGGGGGGAAGACAATAGGTCCCCCCCATCATTTTACTTTAGGGCCCCAAACCCCTAGTCACCCCTCCCTCCCTCCAAAAAAAATTGTCCCCCTACCTACCCCCCTCACCCTAAAAATAATGAGGGGGGGACCTTTAACGAAGTACCTGTAACAAAAAAAAAAAACAACTTACCATTCAATGTTTTCTTTCTTCTAAAATCTTATTTTTTCAGCCCCCAAAAAAGGGCAAATAAAAAACCATAATAACCGACGCACAAAAAAAAACGAGCGAAAAAAAAAAAAAATCCATCTTCACCCGGCGAGGGCTCCGCGCAGTCTGAGCTCTGCAGGACGGGGAAAGGCTTATAAAGCCTTACCCCACCCTGCAATTAGGCTCACACCATTCTGATTGGTGGGTCTGATCCAATCAGAGTGCTCTGACAGGTAAATGAAGGGACTGACAGGTAAGTCTCTACATTTACCTGTCACAGCACTCTGATTGGTTGGTTTGAAATGCTGTGTAATTTGACTCATAACTCTCTGATTGATTACTTAATCCACCAATCAGAGAGTCCTTCATTTACCTGTCAGAGCACTCTGATGGGATGGCTTAAACCCACCAATCAGAGTGCTCTGAGCCTAATTGCAGGGCGGGGCAAGGCTTTATAAGCCTTGCCCCGCCCTGCAGAGCTCAGTCTGCGCGGAGCCCTCGCCGGGTGTAGAAATATATTTATTTTTTTTGCGCTTGGTTTATTTATTTATTTATTTATTTAAGTGCGTCGGTTATTATGAATTTTTTATTTGGCCTTATTTGGGGCTGAAAAAAGAAGATGAAGAAAACATCGAATGGTAAGTTTAATTTTTTTTACAGGTATTTAGTTAAAGGTCCCCCCCTCATTATTTTTAGGGTGAGGGGGTAGGTAGAGGGTTAATTTTTTTGGGGGGGAGGGGGTGATTAGGGGTTTGGGGACCCCTAGTCACCTGGGAGGGGGGTTAACATTTTTTTAGGGCTCCCACCAGCCGCTCAGGGGTGGGGGCCAAGAGGGAAGACATTAGGTCCCCCCCTTATTAGTATTTAGGGCCCCCACCCGCCGCTCAGGGGTGGGGGCCAGGACATTAGGTCCCCCCTTATTAGTATTTAGGGCCCCCACCCACCGCTCAGGGGTGGGGGCCAGGGGGAGGACATTAGGTCCCCCCCTTATTTTACTGTAGGGCTCCCACCCACCGCTCAGGGGTGGGGGCCAGGGGGGAGGACATTAGGTCCCCCCCTATTAGTATTTAGGGCCCCCACACACCGCTCAGGGGTGGGGGCCAGGGGGGAGGACATTAGGTCCCCCCTTATTAGTATTTAGGGCCCCCACCCACCGCTCAGGGGTGGGGGCCAGGGGGAGGACATTAGGTCCCCCCCTTATTTTACTGTAGGGCTCCCACCCACCGCTCAGGGGTGGGGGCCAGGGGGGAGGACATTAGGTCCCCCCCTATTAGTATTTAGGGCCCCCACACACCGCTCAGGGGTGGGGGCCAGGGGAGAGGACGTTAGGTCCCCCCTTTATTATAATTTAGGGCCCCTGCCCACCGCTCAGGGGTGGGGGCCCGGGGGGAGGACAATAGGTTCCTCCCATCATTTTACATTAGGGCCCCCACCCACCGCTCAGGAGTGGGGGCCGGGGGGGGGGGGCAATAGGCTGCTCACTGTTTAATAGACATGCCCCTACTTGCGGTATAGCGAGTACGGGCATAATTTACCAATACTAAGTAATCTTTACTTAGTATTAGTAAATTTGTCTGAAAGACCTTTTAGTAGATAGCTCCCTAATACCGTGGAAATTAGGGAGTTATCTACTTATTCATTCCTGTCAATACATTGACAGGCTAAGTAACTTACATTTTATATGAATGTATGTTACTTGATTGTTGTAAGTGTTGCAAATGCTTACAGCTGAATCCTGGCCATGTTTGTATACTTTTTATTTAAAATTGTATACAATGTAACATTCTTCTTCTTTCACTCGGTAAGTATATTAGTACTTAGGCAATACTGTACTTCGACACTTCGGAAATTTAGTAATTTCGGGACCTCTGGAATTTGGCACTTCGGCAATTGTGACATTCGGAAGTACCCGAATGTCCGAATTGCCCGAAATTCGTCCAAATTCATATTCGGACCGAAACTAATTGCACATGTCTACCCTTCATACACACACACACACACACACACACACACACTTCACCCCTCATACTACTGGTAAACAGTTTGACTACTTACCCTGGGAGGGCACTGTGGCACTCTTGGCACCTTAACCACTACAGAGTGCTGTAGTGGTTATTGTGCCTGGATCGTTTCCTTAAATAATCTACCAGTGCCCCTCCCAAGATTAGGTTCTGGTTAGGCCCCTGACTGGGAAACATTTCTGCTGAACAAGGTCTCAGTATATGCCGCAGTGCTGTACATATATACTACCTAGAATTTTTTTGGTGGGGAGCCTTGGAAAAATATTGAAATAAAATGGTGCCTTGAACCTAAAAAGTTTGGGAACCACTGGGTTCTACTGACAGGACCACAGCATGCCGTCCACATCATTGAGATGAAGTGACCTGGGTGACTTTAATGGTCCTTTAAGCTGTTTCAATGGATAAGCCTCACTGTTCATATTAACACAACAGATTATTTTCTGATAAGAATTTGAGGAGTGCATACATTAAACAAATGAAACAGAGGGGCGGAGCCTGACAGTCATCCTGACTAGACGCCATTTCTACCTGCTCCCCGAAAGCCCAACAAATTCGGATGAACATCGCCCTAACTAGGCACCATCCACCTATAAAAAGTACCTACCCTGCACCACAATGACGAGACACACAGACTGATGCCTTTCTTTTAGGCTGCCAAGAAACCCAGGCAGCGGCACAAATCCGCGGCCTACCGCAGCACGCCACTCTTAAGCCTCGGACCTGGAGAGAGTCGCGACCACCTAGAATATTCCCCCGCCTAACAAGCCTGCCGGCACACCAACCATGGGCCGCTGCACTCCTAAACCTACTACAGGCATTGGCAATCAAGGTAGGGACATTGGGTAAATGCTGCTACAGCCAGCACATGCCACGCCAACACATATGGAACACCCGCCTAATGTGGCTCCCGTCCCAGAGTCAGATAAAGGGGCAACCTGGACACACAGACACCCCAGGCCGAGCTTCCCAACCCCCCCAGTCTCAACAGAGGATTCAGCCCCCACTAACAAAGGGGACCTGAAAGCACTTTTGGTGGATATCCAGTAGCTACTTGCAGCTGATGTAGCCCTGGTCAAAAGAGATATACAGCAGGTCGCTGACCGAGTTACAACCACAGAAGAAGACAGAGCAACTGTCCACAATATTGTGACCACCCTAACAGACTCAGTCCAACAGCTACACACTGAACAACAAGTACTGGCGGTCCAAATAATGTCCCTCGAAGACAAACAACGCCGGACACACATAAAAATCCATGGCGTACCCAGCACAATCACTACTGAAGAACTGCTGCATTACATTTGGCGCCTCCTGACATTAATCCTGTCACAAACGGTGGCAAAGAAAATTACCCTGGATGGGATGTCATCCTATGCTGTGTAACAATACACAACAAAATACAAATAATTACAGCCTTGACAGGTAAAACAGGACTAGAATTTGAGGACTTCCGGCTCTTATTCTTCCAAGACCTCACCAGAGCCACATTACTCTGGCGTAAATCCGTTGGAACAGTGACAATTACCCTGCATAAAGCTAACATACCATATAGATGGGGGAACACTGGCTCCCTACTTGTTCACCGGAATGGGACTGCTCACAACCTCACATTCCCGAACAGAGCATTAGCTTTCCTGAGTGCACTAGGACTACATCCAGGGCAACCCTTCTCCACAGATGGAAACCGAATTGCAAACTGGGATCCTGAAGCCGGCACCTCAACCGGAAAGATGACAAGGAGCCTACAACTCCCAAACACCTGAAACCGACCAGAGCTGAGACATCCTAAACTGTGATCAGCCTAGTGGATACCAAGATCACAATACCTACAAAGTTTTTTTTACAAAATGTTATTTCATATGTTGTTTTTAAATTCATGCTGTATGCTCTTATACACATTGTATACCAAACATACGAGGGGTAACCCAAACCCCTAAAAGACGAATTGGCTTAATTACTTTTCACCTTGCAAGAAACTTGCCTTCCTCACACATGGAAGCCAAAACCCTCCAGCTATCTAGAGACAGGTGGCATCTTAATTAACACTCTAAACCCGCCACCCTCAAGGTTAGCATTAAGCATGCCAGACCAATACTCAGGCACATTGAACTCACGCCAGCCAATAGCTATACTACCTGGACCACCATACTGTACATGGTGCCCATTTGGCACACGTACTCTGGCATCTCCTAAACACATAAGTATCAGCTTGAAATCGCACACACACACGCTCTTATACGCTCTTACATCTTCTTGTCTAAAAACAAGGAGCATACCTCACACCTCATGCCTGTAGTAACCCAGGAGCACAGCGCACACTACTTGCTAACCTGTTGAATTTATGTTTGCCCTGGGTTTGTCCCCGAACCTGTTCATAACAAATATGTGCTTACCAATCGCATTTCAATGTCTATCTCACTGATAACTCAAAGTTCTGGATGAAAACTTGCTAATCTTGTATCCCCGTCATCATACGAAATTTCTGAACTTATTAAAAATGTTTGATGTATCTTAAACATTTAACCCCTTAAGGACACATGACGTGTGACATGTCATGATTCCCTTTTATTCCAGAAGTTTGGTCCTTAAGGGGTTAATCAAACACGAAAAAATAAAGATTGTATAAACAAATGAAACATTTAGGAAAGTAAATCTATATCTAAATAATGCCAGCTTTATATTTGAACAGTTTCTACTTGCCAAGCGTCATTGAAAAAAATTGACACTTTTTCTTCAAGGAAAACACAAACAACTCCTGTACCATAGCGCCACCTATTGTCTTTCACTGTCACTGCTGTGAGACACCGAACAGGAAATTAACAGTTGTAGATTGGCTGGAGTACTGGAGTATAGCAATGTTAACAGAGCATGAGCCAAATCTCTGTTAACATTTAGGAGTTAAGGAACTTACACAGGGTCCTCTATGTACTTCAGTTTTAAAAGTCTACGTTACAATAATTTGTACATATAATGAAAAAGTTAAATATCCACTTTATAGAGTCCAAATCAGAAAAGATGGGGTTTGGGTGCCAGGTTAATCTCTAGTTTTTGTCAAAAAACTTGAAAATTGTTTAGAAAAACAGGAGATTCTGCACCAGCAGGGTTTTTGGTGTTTAGTGTGTTCCATTAAATATACATGACTGGTAACCCAAGATGGGTTCTGTGACAGAGCTCGGTTCTTAACCTTTGTATCTCCTCCAACCTCCCTCCTTTTCCCGCAGGATATTCAGAGCAGTTACAGCAGCTCATCCAAGCATCAGCCAAGACTTGATAAAGAGCGAAACACAGTGTACTTTATTCAACCAACTCACACATATTTATGCACATATTTATGCACAGCCAACGTGTATTGAACCAGCAGGGGGTCAGGACGGATAAGAGTTAATAAGGTCAGCTCAGAGCTAACAATATTCTATCAGACATTGGTGTCAGGGTATCTTCTGTACCCCAAAACTCCCCTTCCCAATTTAGTATCCCCACAAAACAAATATTCCTGGATAGTTCATCTGAGCTATCACCTATCCAAAAAATTGGAGGTACTATAATGGCCAGAGTAAAGTTATTGTTTTATACTTTAAAACTAATAGACCATTAAAACAATTTAACACATGAACATATTTTTCTTCCCTGGGACAAGTTTAAGAATGCTATAAACCCATGTTTCAGATAAACTAAGGGGAGTTTGAGATAGGAACTGAAGTCTGTTCTACTTTGTAGTGGAAAATATATTGAATTGCAGTAGGTTTTGTTAATGGACCACTATAGGCACCCAGATCACTTCAGCTTAATGAAGTGGTCTGGGTGCCAAGTCCATTTATGTTTATATTAGGGTTAATCCAGCCTCTAGTGGCTGTCTCATTGACAGCCGCTAGAGGCGCTTGCGTGCTTCTCACTGTGAAAATCACAGTGAGAAGACGCCATCGTCCATAGGAAAGCATTGTGAATGCTTTCCTATGAGACTGGCTGAATGCGCGCGCTGCACTTTGACTGACAGATACTCACTCACTGACAGATGCACACTCACTGACAGACACACACTCTCATATACACTGACAAACAATGACATACACACACACACACACACTATTACTTGGACACACACTGACAGATGCACACTCTCACTGACAGACGCACGCACTCACTGAAAGATGCACGCCCCCACTGACCGACACATACACACTCACTGACCGACACATACACACTCACTGATCGACACACACATTCACTCACAGACACACACACACACATAAACACTTACAGACACATACAGACACACACACACACATTCACTCACAGACACACACACACACACATTCACTTAGACATACACACTCACAGACACAGACATTTCCACTAACACTCACAAACTAATATTTTTTACAATTTATTTTAAATCCACCCAGCTTCCCTGGGAGAGCTGGAGTGGATTTCTTACCTGCAGTCCAGTGTGGCTGCTGGGCGGGCAGGCAGGGGTCCACAGGCTGAGTAGGCGGCGCTTAGTGATGCCGGGAGCCGGACTGACGTCATAGTCCAGCTCCCGGCTTCATTAAGTGGCGCGGAGGGAGCTGAGCAGGAAGAGCTCAGGTGAGTATGCTCCTTTGCTGCCCGCTGCCAGCCTCGGGGGGGCTCAAAGGTGGCCAGCCGGCCAGCTCTTGAGCCCTCCAGTACGCGAAGCAAGCAAGGGATCTGCCTGGGCGTTTGGGGGCGGCTTTTTTTGCCGCCCCCTGCAAAGTGCTGTCCAAGGCAGATGCCTTGTTTGCCTCGCGATACACACGTCCCTGGTGCCTGCGTGTGTTACTGAATTCAGGCAACTTGGTGCGGGGTGGGGAGCCGTGAAGACTTTTCGCACAGGGTGCCTAATTGCCTAAGGCCGGCCCTGCCTGGCACACCCAATGTTAGTAGTCAAACTGTTTTAGAGTGTTTCCTCACCTGGCATCTGTGGGGCACTGCTCCCCACCTCTCTCCTTCCGGTCTAAAATTTAGATGCTCCTGCTAGAAGCGTCCATTAGTTCTATTGAACTAAACCGTGATCTGAACTCTGTCAGCCAAAATGCTAAGCCCTTCATCACAAGACTTCAGGCAGAGAGCTTCCAGCTCTCAGACTGGAAATGGTGTGATGGGGTACCAGGGCACTCCTGACACTATAACCACTTTAGTGCACTATAGTGGTTATGGTGCTTGGAGCGTCCCTTTAAAAAGAATGCAGAATGTCTCTGTTGTTTGTACTTTCTGATCTTAATCAGCACCAGCTATCTGCTAATTCAGTGATGACTAAGTTTCCTTCACATAATACATAATATTAATTTTATATCCCTTTAGGGACCAAGGCTTTTTTGAGATGCAACATGTTTTCGTGTGCTCATTCTAGTACTATTTCTCCCTTTACACCCATACATATTACATATTATTTTTAAGCCCATTGCACAGTCTCAGTTTCTTCAAAAGATCATTAAAAGTGCACTTCTTTATAAAAGCATAGTAAAACTTTTACCCCCCCCCACACCTCTGTACCCCCACCCCTGCTTCCTCTCCTGCCACTGTGTTATCCAAAAAACTAACCCTTCATTGTAAACTATTCCAGTAACCTACCGTATATACTCTAGTATAAGTCGAGTTTTTCAGCAAATTTTTTGTGCTGAAAAACCCCCACTCGACTTATTTCCGAGTTAATGTCTGTATTATGGCAACTTACATTGACATAATACAGACCATGACCGCCGGACTCATTACAAGCCCGGCGGTCCTGTTGGGGGCTGGCAGGAAGCGTTTACTTACCTTTCCTGAAGCTCCTGTCAGCTCCCTTCTCTCTCCTCCGGTCTGGTCAGCTCCCCTGTAAATTTTGCGAGAGCCACGGGGAACGCTACGCGCGGCCGCGAGACTTACAGTGGAGGAGAAGGGAGCAGGGAGCTGACAGGAGCTGCAGGAAAGGTAAGTTGCAGCTGACTGCCAGACCCCCTTCTACACAGTGCACAGCCCTGGACCACCAGGGAATGAGAGCCCCCCTCCCTGGCCAGCTAACAAGCAGGGAGGGGGGACGGCAAAAAAATATAAATACAAAATTTAATAATATTAAAATAAAAAATATTAATAATAATTTTAAAAAGTAATAAAAATGCTCACCCCCCCCACCAAGGCTCTGCATCACACACACACACACACACTGCATTCATACACACACACTGCATTCATTATATACACACACTGTAAATAAATATTCAATTAATATAATTTTTGGGGGATCTAATTTTACTTAGAAATTTACCAGTAGCTGCTGCATTTCCCTACCCTAGTCTTATACTTGAGTCAATAAGTTTTCCCAGTTTTTTGGGGGTAAAATTAGGGGTCTCGACTTATATTCAGGTCGACTTATACTTGAGTATATACGGTACTTTTCCCATACATGAAATACATCCTTCCCTTACCTCTTGTGCCACTTTACACCACTCACTCTAGAAGTAATCTTGTTTGAGCAATTCCTTCTACACCCTCTGTTCCTGTGCATCCAGCTCATCTTGTTGTAAATACTTGTCTGTTAGTCCACGTATTGTACAGCGCTGTGGAATTTGTTGGCGCTTTATAAAGAATAATCTAATGAATGAAGATATTTACCATGGAGATAACAAGTCTACTTTTACTCCATGGAGTCAATCTGCAGAATTGTTAATTAAATTTTTTTTTTCTTGCAAATAAATAGCACAAATTAAATTCCACAAGCCTTGAAACCTTCTATACAACATATTAAATGCATACAGGGTTATTTACAAAAGTGAGAATTCAAAATTAATTTCAAATCAAAGGCTAGAGCAGCTAAATGGAAAGCACAGCTGACTAAGAGAATTTTTCCAGTTTTGTTCACCTTAAATCTGAAATTCACTTTGACTTCACCTTGTATTCTCACTTTACTGAACAACCCTGATAAAATCTGAGATATACTAAAGATTATCTTTGTAGTTTTTATTAAACACATTGGAAGTTTGCATGCAGAAAAGAACAAAACCTATGAAGCATATAGTACATTATGTCATCAAATTATCTTTTAAAGGAACACTTTAATTACCATATCCACTATAGCTGATATCCTGGTGCCCCCACGAGTTCTTACCTGGGTCCCTGCAGGCACTGCTTCCACTGCTAATGGTGGGGAGACAGAAGTTCCAAAGCTGGAATTTCCATTAGCACTCCAGAGTGAAGAACTGCAATGCAGGGCTTATCTCATTGGCTGAGAATGTCACCTAAGAACGGTTTGAACTACTTAAAATGGGATGGGCACTAATGCACTCCGGGCACCATGATCATAACAGAGAGAGAGAGTTGTACTGTTTATAGTAGTTGGACTGTTCCTCTAAGCACGTGTGACCAGAATAGCATATTATTTAGTAGAGTTATACAAGAATGTATTCTGCGCAGCAACACTTTATTTTAATGTACCCCACATTTGTATGTTTGCTCAGTAAGCAATCTGCTCATTCTAGCTTAAGTTGTACCTGTCCTCATTTCAAAATACAACCTCCTCTAGGTAATAAATTAGGAATATATTCACCAACACACTAGCAAACTTGGTACCAAATGTACAGATTAAAATATATGTCTGCCTGAAGTTTGTTTTCTCCTATAGAAATATTATGCCCATCACAGTGGATGTACATGAATCATCAAACTCCCACAATGCTAATCGTGACATCCCTAGAAAGCACACATTAGTCAGTGTGAGGAGACCGATGTATGTAGATCCACAGTCTGTAATTTAAAGTTTTGTCTCAAGTTTAGCAGCAAAGAGGTGTAACTTACAAAAGAAATATAGAAATAAAGCATTATTTATACATTTGGTAATAATTTGGCATGTTTATAAATTAATTAATTCACTTGAAAGGTAAATGAATAAAAACGGAAACTGTGATATGATATCATAACTGGTAAACAGGTCTGTGGAAGTACAGCTTTCCATAAATTATTAAACTACAGTTCCCACAATTCTCTGCCATTGCTAGGAAATAATTATGGAAGCTGTAATCCAACAACGGCTGGGAGGAATCAGTCCATGCCATTAATCTGTTATCAAATTACCTCATGGCCAATTTCTGGCATTGATGCTTTGTACCAATGTTCAGGATACTCTGCAGTCCTCAGAGGAGAATTTTGTATGGTATTGGAGGAACTTGATTTTGTACTTTAAAAAAATATATATATTATTAAGTAATGCAGACTTCAGCCATCTAGCAAAAAGTTCCAGAAACAAATCCACAAATAGGCAAATTTTATCAGAACTTGATTACCTGCCCTTCAGTTTTGTCACATCATCAATAGACAGGAATTTGGGCCTTCTGCGCACTTCTCTCTGAGTTCTATACACCATATTCCTCTGTGTCATAACTAAAGGGAAAATAAAATGAACAAATTATTTTATTAGCTCTAGTGTGTTGTATAGTCTTGTTTCGAGGGATTCCTGGAGACCTTAGCATGGTAGCACCCCCAAATCCTGGTATCCCTGACATCACATTCAAAGAGCACTACAGTTCCCACACTTCTCTGCTAGATCATTGCTAGGAAATAATTATGGAAACTGTAATCCAACAACGGCTGGGAGGAATCAGTCCTGCACCCATGCCATTAATCTGTTATCAAATTATTAATTATTAAACTGTTACTAGTAAACAGAAGGCTGGATTTTCTTAACCCCTTAAGGACACATGACATATGTGATATGTCATGATTCCCTTTTATTCCAGAAGCTTGGTCCTTAAGGGGTTAAAAGAACACATAATTTTAGAATAAATAACAATTTAGTAGATCTGCCACCTTGGCTTGCAATAGCTTCAGACATAGTATTTGCAACAACCCCAAGCCCTCACCTACTTCCTCAGCACAACCTTTCTGTGCCCATGTCTCTGAATGCCAATTCCATGTCTCTGACAGCTGGGGAGGTGTAAGAAGCCAGCTAAAGTGCTTTATTTGTTTGCAGTATTCCTTTAACGGTTTAGTCTGCTTACCAAATCGGAATTCCTCCACTAACATTCATGGAGAATTGTAAACCTTAAGTCTGCTGAAAGAATCCAGCCCACAGAATGCATCAAATGCCCCTATTCTCAGAAAGATCTAAAAATACAAAATAACTAAAGGAATCCATTCATTAAACAAAGACAAGTTGTGAAATAAAAGCCAAAATTTAAAATGTAGGCCAAACAAGCTAGTCAAGCCTAAGTGGCCAACTGCCTACCCCTCCAGGCCCCACCCATCAGCGGTGGGTCGGGGCTTTAAGTGACAAAAGGGAGAACACACCTATTGTCTCCTCCCTCCCCTACCTCCCCGGTGCCCACCTATGGGCGCTCTGAGTCAAATTGCAGGGCATGGGAAGGCTTTAAAAACCTTTCCATGCCCTGTGGAGCTTAGTCAACACTTATTCTGAAAAAGTGCAAAAATAGACATTGGCTTCCATAGTGAATTATACCTTTATTATATAAACTGGATAAACAGTAATTAACCTCCCTAAAATCTCCTAAATTGTTCTGATGGTACTGTAGGCTGCCTAAATTGTTCCGATGCTACAGTCTACAGTACAACCGGAACAATGTACTAGAATATATCCCCCATATCTTTTATTTGATATCTTTCTGTGAATGCTCCATCTGATAATACACTACATTGGGGGGAGTAAAGGGGTGTAATTCACTATGGAAGCCCATGTCTGTTTTCATACATTTTTAGAATAAGTATTGAATCAGAGGAAATAGGGAGGGGTGAATTTCCACCAGAAAAAAAAATAGTGCAGGAGATGAGCTTGGAATAAATACTAGGGGAGATTACAAATGCCGCTGTCCACTGAATATGAAAAAGAAACTGTTGTTTGTGATATTTTTTCTCAACTGAACAATTGTAATGTAGCTATTGGTTGAGGATTTTTTTTTTTTAAGTCAAAAGTCCGCATTTTTGTAATTTACATCCCAGGGCACAGCATGTATAAATTATTTTAATACCTGCAGTCCATACGCACAGCACATACACACATTCAGCACAACTGAAAGAATGCCTGTGTCTGCATGTTTGTGTATGGCATGTTTGTGTCTGCCATGTTTGTGTATGGCATGTTTTTGTCTGCATGTTTGTTTATGGCATGTTTGTGTTTGCATGTTTGTGTATGGCATGTATATGTATAGCACACTGCATGAGAGCTTTCTTTCGGGCCATAAGGGAAAACAAAAAAGTATTTGTTTTACTTATCTCCACTGCTTTATTCACCCGCGTAAAAACCACATACTGGATTAAAGGGGTAAAAGAACAAAGAATTGCACTTCCAGGGAAGTGTTAGTTATGTTTTAAGTGTGTCAGCATTGTGGCCAGTGACCCTGAGGTATGTTAAATATAACTGCTGGTGGTATACATTAATAAAATACTTTATAATCCATTTCCAACCTGTTGACTAGGAAGCTTCCAGACAGAAGGCTGGAGGACACAAGAATAAAAGCTTTTCCAGATGGCAAGGTTTTAAATGCCTTTATCGGTAATGTTATTATGAATATTACAAGGCAAAGGGTACACCTTATTTGTTGGGCCTCGCAGTATAATAAGGAGATCTAGGGTACCCAGGGGAGGACAGACCAGTTGGGGCGCCTCCACGCAGCCTGCCCTGCACTAACATGAAGAGTGCTGCCGCTGCTAGAGTCATCAGTCTTGTCATTTTGAAGCAACCTGTTGCCTGATAACATGATGAGGTGAGGGAAACTGGGTGAAATGTGATAGTCATGAGGCCATTGGAGCATAAGGTAAATGGGAGTTGGATTAGGTGTGAGTATTCGCACAGGGGAACAAGGAGAGGAGCACAAAAAGCAGAGGCACAAGATGAGAGAAATTGGGGGGCAAGAGATATAGGTAATTGGGTGAGGTTGGAGCAGGAGAGAGGAATTTGGGGGACAAGAGATGAGAAGTATTAGGTAGGTTGGCGTTATAACTGAAAAAGGTGAAGATGTATGTTAGTTAGTCTCAGAAGCCATCCGCAAGGCCATGTTAGTGAATATAATTACCTTTTCTTTATTTTTTTCTAGTGGAACTGATTTTTTAAGATACACTTTTTCCAATAACTAGTATATTAATCTGTTGAGATTTACTGAGGCACACTGAGAATACGATGACACACAACCATGCAATTTTTGTGACCAATAGTAATACAAAAATAAATAACATTAGATAAAACTGTATAAGGCATGTTGTAAAATGCAATGCAGCACAATCAACTAATATAAAGAATACAGAAGAATGGGGATAGAATAAAACAAGAATGGCATCTGGAGGAGCAACGGTGAAAGAAGGGGAAAAGAAAGAAAAAAAAACTATTAGGAGGAGAAAGGAAAAAAGTAGTAAATATATCAGAAATATTGCAAAAAGATACAAAGGGGAGCAGCAGGAGTCCTCCAAGAGTCAGATCACGTACATATTAAGTAATTTGGTAATTGTACACAATACTGAGAAACACTCTTACGTTTAAAATCAATCTCATATTGCTGCTGTCCTGCATGGAAACTGATTGTTGCACTGGGATCAGACACGTAGTTTTTTTCTAGATCTGCCGAAGTCATGGAAGCGCTCACCTGCTTTGTGTTCTAGGAATCAGGAAGAAATTTTTAGTATTATGTTTGGTGCAAGAGGACAACTGTAAGGATGTTGTTGGATCACTGTTTAATGTGTTGTTGAAATGTTGAAAATAGTTGCCAAGTTGGAGATCAGCAGATCTCAGCCTGCAATATATAGGTGCATCTCAGTACATACTGGTGAGGGCAGACTCGTGGGGCATAGCTGGGGTTCTTGATTGTTAATAAGGGTAAGGAAGAGGATTTGCTTTTTACACCCAATAAAAAAAAAAATCACTCATTAGGCTGTCAATGTTGGTGGACCAGTGCAAATCATGTAGCAGTTGCTACTTGATCGGCATGAAAAATGTTGCCCAGGGTGTTCCATGCAGTAAATGAGATACATATATGATTTAATTCGGTGGGACAAATCTTGGAATTTGAAAAGATTGATTTGTGTCTCTTGATTTATTGTATCCAGGTCCCTAGAAGAGCTTTAACTGATGTTGGAGGGCCTCATGCTTTGCATAAGGACATCCACGATCTTCTACGTTCCCCAGAGGAAAGCACTGATTTGATGCTTTACTATGTGGAAGCATGAATGCTAGCCAGACCTAGCCAGCACCAAGCGATCCTCGGGGCTGGAAAGAGATAAGTTAAAAAAAGGGTTTTAATAATTTAATTGCAAATAAGAAGAATTCTATCACTTCTGAAAGATACCCCAGAGGGGAGATAAGCGCAGAACATCAGTGTTTCTTGTAAGTTTTCTACCTTCTGGATTAAGTCACATTTCTTTGCATACTTCACTATTTGTGATTCTATTATTCTAGATCTCCCAGAGATCACTCCCTGTTATACAGGGTGTATCCTCTATATTTTGTGTGCTATCCCACTTTTTAGCTTATACTACACCTTGGAGTTGTATATACTACTTTGTTTTTTTTAATAATTTAATTGTACACCAGGGAGGAAGGACCTAGAAAATTAGGGACAGGAACACTACAGCATTGGGAATACAGGTTTGTATTCATAACGCTATAGTGTTCCTGTAAAGTACATGTAAAAAAAGCTGTACTGCTATATAAAAATATCATAAATTAAAAAAAAATAATAGAGGGTGGAGACAGCACTCATTGAAGGCGGACGTGTTTTCTCCGAGCTCTGTGCTTTATTCCAATTTACCAATATTACTATTTTATTATTACTATTTACTACCTTACGCGTGGTTTCACTTCATCCCTGAGGATTAGTTGGTCAGTTCTCTACCTACAGACTATGGGAAGAGAATCTAAAAAGTATTGTCTGGATCCCGCGATATTGGAGTGCTGCTCAACCAGACTCAGAGGCCCACTTCACCTAAGATGGCACCCGATGTGGCCTATTCCTCAGCGTCCTCTGAAGACTACAGCCTGGAAGAAGACTCACCTGCTTCCACAAATATATGAGTCAGTTCACCTCACCCTCTGACCCAAGGGGATGAGGCTCCCTCTACTAAAGCTGACATCAAAGCCCTATTTAAAGACATACAAGCGATGTTCCAATAATCAGGGAGGAGGTGACCACCCTTACAAGCCAAATAGACGCTATTGAGGAAGACGATGTGGCTGTAAAAGTTGCTCAAACAGCTACTGATTCAGCAATTAATACCTTGCAGACAAACTATCCAGCATTAACAGCACATGTGGCTACATTGAAAAACAAGACCAGAGTATGCAATGTCCGCATCAGAGATGTTTCTGAGACCATCCTCCATGAAGAGCTTCCACACTATCCCTGCCACCTTTTTTCTATGCTTTTACTGCCCAAACAGGCTAAGCTACCTTTATTGAAAAGCTGTTTCAGGATGACCAAGACACCAAGAGCACTTCGGAAGGCTTTCAGAGATGTACTAGCTAAATTCATGAAAGACTAGGACATTGCATTTGCTCTCAATAGCCCCTTACCCCATTATCCTCAACCTAACCCCCTCACCTAAGAAGAAATCTGAATTATATTGACCTCAATATTGGCTATCAGCTAATATTGATTCCCAACTTCTATCCATCCCTACTTTCTCCTGTCCCCCACTGGCTATCTCCTCATATAACACTACCCTCACCTCTGCCCTGGATGCTGTAGCCCCGCTCCAAACATGCAACTTAAGGAGAACACGCCCCCAAACGTGGCACACTAAATTAACAAGCTACCTGCAGAGATGTTCCCGTTCTGCTTAATGCTGCTGGAGGAAGTCACGCACCCAGTCAGACTTCCTCAACTACAAATTCATTTTGCGTTCATACAGCACAGCCCTTGTCCGTCTCACCTTATCAGATCTCTCTCTTCTTGTCTTGTGCCTTCCTTAACACACATCTTCAACTGCTCTCTTTCTTCTGGTGTTGTCCCTGCTGCCCTTAAACATGCTATCTTATCAACCAAAAACACTAAAACAGTCTTACCTCTCAAGCGTCATGTATCTGATGGAGATGGTATTGGAGGGAAACTCAAAGGATGCAGCTATAAGAAAACACATATGCTATGCTAATCTATCTCTAATTTATGTTTCATCTTTCAAGGGAATCCATACCCCCTAACAGCAGTGTCCAGTGAAGCAGGAAGTCAATGAGCGGGGTAAAAGGGTGGGCCACTGACGCGAATCACGTGATCAGAACAGCCAGAAGGGGCAAACATGCCCAAAAAGGGGCATGTCTGTCCAAAGAATTGAAAGGCCAGTTTGGCATCAGTGTCCCTATGTATCACAATGTCAATGTCCCCATGTCGTCCAGTCCCCTAGTCTCCCAGTGTCTCAGGATCCCCATTTCTCCCAGTGTTCCCATGTCTCAGTGTGTCCCGTGTCACTAGTATACTAGGGGACACTGAAAGACATGGGGACACAGTGAGACCTGGGACACTGAGAGACCCGGGGACACAGACACTTGGGGCACTTGTGGATACAGACATGGGGACACTGGGAGACATGGGGACAGAGACATTTGGGGACACCGGGAGAAATGGGGACACAGACACTAGGAACACAGATATAGACAACAAACAAACTTAGTGTTTATGTGATCAACCCCACCTCCCAACACACAGAGTCCACCAGTGCAGCACTTTAAATGAGTTTACCCCTCAGTATATATAGGGGATTTTCCACATGTAAGAAATAATGAAATATAAAATAGTATAATACATTGCTTTACAGATGTATATTAAAGTGAGTATGTAAATAAACTCAAATTTTTTAGAACCATTTTCGATATCGGCTCTAAATTAAACTATCATTTTTTAATTTAACAGACGCACCACTAGCGAAAACAGAGCAAAGAGTCTTAAATAAAGGCTTAAAATTTGTTCCATCTAAATCAATAAATAAATTAGATTTTTGTTTGTGGATTTAAATACATTTAAAAAACAACTATGTATAAAAAAGTTTTTTTTAAAGAAATAATAGACATATTTTTGATAGCCAACCAAATCTATTGAAATATATGCATACCAGCTTAAGAGATAAGTCTAGTTTCTAACCAAAAAATGTTATCTCTCATGAGATGATTGCTTTTGAAAAAGTGGTAATGCAAGATGTTAAACGTAAAGCATAAGAACTTCAATAAGGAAGAATGGAGGGCACTGAAAAAATTGCAAAAAGATCAGGATAGAGTCATTAAACCTGCGGGTAAAGGGGAGGTATAGCGGTAATGAAAACACACCACTATATTGAGCAAGGTCTAAGACTGGTAAATGATGGAATGACCTATAAGAAACTACAAAAAGACCCAACCAAAGAGATAACAAAATTTTTTGAAAGTTACATAGTTACATAGCTGAAAAGAGACTTGCGCCCATCAAGTTTAGCCTTCCTCACATTTGTTTTTTGCTGTTGATCAAGAAGAAGGCAAAAAAAAACAGTCTGAAGCACTTCCACTTTTGCAACAAGCTAGGAAAAAAATTCCTTCTTGACCCTAGAATGGCAGTCAGATTTATCCTTGGATCAAGCAATTTTTACCCTACATTGAAAGATTATATCCTTGAATATTTTTTTGCAAGTATGCATCTAGTAGCTGTTTGAACATCTGTATGGACTCTGATAAAACAACTTCTTCAGGCAAAGAATTCCACATCCTTATTGTTCTTACAGTAAAAAAACCTTTCCTTTGCCTTAAACAAAATCTTCTTTCTTCCAGTCTAAACGCATGACCTCGTGTCCTATTTAAAGTCCGGTTTGTGAATAGATTTCCACACAATGGTTTGTATTGGCCCCCGAATATATTTGTATAATGTTATCCCCTCTCAGGCAACGTTTTTCTAAACTAAATAGGTTTAAATTTGTTAACCTTTCTTCATAGCTGATATGTTCCATTCCTTTTATTAATTTTGTAGCCCGTCTCTGCACTTTTTCTAGTGCTATAATATCCTTCTTTAGAACAGGTGCCCATAATTGCACAGCATATTAAATATGTGGTCTTACCAGTGATTTATAAAGAGGCACAATTATATTATATGAGAATGAATGCCCTTTTTCATGCATGACAATACCTTACTGGCCTTGGCCACTGCTGATTGACATTGCACATTGTTGCATAGTTTGTTGTCTATAACAATTCCCAAGTCCTTTTCGTGTGTTGTTATCCCTAATTCGCTTCCATTAAGGGTAAATGTTGCTTGTGTATTCTTTACACCGAAGTGCATAACTTTGCATTTTTCAACATTACATTTCATCTGCCATTTGAGTGCCCAGTTCTTTGATATGGGCAAAGAAATGGGAATTCTGAACAATCAGGAATATCTAAATATACAGACCCCAAAGTACCGTTTTTTTACCATTTAGCAAAAATCCACAAAAATCAGATGAAATTAACTCTATATCCAGCAGGCTATCGGAATGTATTGATAGATGCCTCCAACCAGTTGTACAAACAACTACAAGTCATCTTAAATATACTATAAATATCCTGTAGATTTTAGAGACAATTCAATGGGAATCAGATTACTTACTAGTTACATCGGACGTAAGTTCATTATACACAATAATA